TCTTTTTGGTGTTAATTGTTTTTGTTAATCCTCACGTGAGGATAGTTTCCCATTTTTTTAAGGGAGAGTAGAAGGGAGAGGGAAAGACAGAGAGGAACATCGATGTGAGAGAAACCAGGGCCCGGGCTGGGGAGGAACCTGCACCCAAGGTACATGCCCTTGACTGGAATTGAACCCAGGACCCTTCAGTTCACAGGCCGGTGCTCTATCCACTGAGCCACACTGGCCAGGACTGGGCTGAAGAGATTTAATGTCCAGGGGCCGCACGGAGCTAACATCGCGGGATCCTAGCTCGGCGCTCAGGCCGCTCACCCACGTCTGGGACGGTCCTGGCTCCCTTCACCACGTCCTGGTCGGTGGCCACAGGAAGGGCCACGTGCAGGAGGGAGCCCGGCTAGAAGCCCGGCCACAGGGACATGGTCCTCCCAGGAACCAGCTGCCGGCACCACCCTTGGGCTCCCAGCCTCCGGACGGGGTCCGTCTGTCTGAACCCCACGTCTGCAGCGTTTGTTAGGGTCCCCTGCACGGAGACCAGGGCCTCAGCTTCCCTGCCCTGAGGGCGTCCCGGTGACGTGTTCCGTAAATGTGAGCCCCACACCCACGGGGACATGTGTGTCTGCTCACAGGCCCAGTCCCACCGAGTCAGCCAGCACCTGGGCCCGGCGTGTCCTGGGCCTCCCCGGTGACCTCGCCTGGAGTCCTCGCCCTCCCTGTGGCGAGCGTCCCCTGAGGTCCTTCCGGGGGGCTCTCCGGGTCTGTCCCCAGGGCTGCAGAGCCCCCGCAGAGGCCCCCAGCTTCTCCAAGTAGAGCCAGCACAGCCAGGGATACAGCAGACTTTGGCTGACGCCCAGCCGGGGTGGCACCTCCTGGTTCAGAGGTCAACACTCAACCACTGCACCATGCCAGCCAGGCTAAAATACACCTTTATAACTATGTTTATGTCCGTCCCAAAGTAACCACACGGAAAAATACAGTTCCACACACAAAGAAAGATATCAAGGCATATTGACATTTTAAAAAATCAATAAGCCCGCCCTGGCCAGTATATCAATAAAAATATATTTTAAAAATATATATACGTGTATGTAAAAATACGGGGGGCAGGTGGGGGAGCCGAGAATCCGCGTGCTCGTTCCGGGGCCGGGGCGGAAACAGCCGGTCGGTCGTCGGTAACTCGTCCTGACCCAGCACCCACAGGGCGGACACCGCTCTGAGCCGGCCGTGCACGCATCACGGGAGATGGAACCGGTGGGAACGCTTTACCGCGTGTTTGGCTTTAACACAGGCGAGGCCACCCCACTCCCCAGGAGAGCCCAGCTTCTCCCAGACCCGGTCCTGAAACCAGTAAAAATATATTTGGAAAAAAAGGACCATTCGAGCCCCACCCTCAGGCCGGTGGTGACATTCAGTGATAACTTCCTGGGACCAGGGTGACCTCATGGCTCCGTTGGTTGAGTGTCATCCCATGCACCCAGACGGAGCCGGTTTGACTCCCAGTCAGGGCACATGCCCCTCGGTTCAATCCCAGCTCCACCTGCTGGAGCCCTGTGGCCTGCCCTGTGGGGGCACCTTTGGCCTCTTTCTGCTTCCCAGCAGCAACCGAGTTGGCACAGGCCTGAGGCCTTTGCTCTGGATGTTACCTCTGCCTGAATCACCCTCTGAGGCCATCCACCCGTCGGGTCCTCCCAGCACGCAGGTCTTAGCGCAAGCGTCACCTCCTCCGAGAAGCCCTCCGTGACCACCCCGTCTCAGGCACCCACGACTCACTTTGACCCCAGTCTGTCGTTGCCCTAGTCACCAGTTGCGGCCTCCCGTTTTACGGATGGTGGTGCTGACTCGTTCACCCCTGGCTTCTACCTCTGGAATGAGAGGTCATGACCTTCTGCTGGGTGGGCAGTGCAGGTCCCAGAGCCAGCCTGCCCTGGCCTCCGCGGTGCCACCTCCGAGTCACCAGCACGTCCAGGCCCTTCCCTTCACCGGTTTTTGCAACGCCCTGGCCATTGATAACAGGTGCGCACGCCGCCGTCAAATCCGGTTTCGCCTTAAGTGCCCGTTAACATGTGTGCCAGGCGGAACAGATGCTGGGGGTTGAACTCTGACCCCGAGTCAACTTTCAGACACATCCCGATTTCACGAGGAAAGGTGGCCACAGTGGCCCGGCCGGCGTGGTGCAGGGGTTGAGCATTGACCTATGAACCAGGAGGTCGCGGTTCGATTCCTGGTCAGGGCACAGGCCCGGGTTGCAGGCTCGATCCCCAGTAGGGGGCGTGCAGGAGGCAGCTGATTGACGATTTTCTCTTATCATTGATGTTTCTCTCTCTCTCCCTCTCCCTTCCTCTCTGAAATCAATAACAAATTTTTTATTTTTTAAAGGTGGAATAAGGTCATCACACCAGCAAGGCCCACCCCGCACCTGCAGCCCAAGTGTGCTCAGGCCTCAGGTGGAGCTGACCTGGGGCAGCAACCGCCTGGCTCCTCACATCCCCAGGGCCCTGGGAGGTGCGAAGGGAAGGCTCAGAGACGGGCAGCGACTTGCTTGGCGACACACAGCAATGCAGGTGGGAATGGACAAACGGGAGCCAGGGGCTGAGTGGATAGAGCGTCAGCCCACGGAGCGAAGGGTCCCCGTCCGATTCCGGTCAAGGGCATGTACCTTGCTTGCAGGCTCAGTCCCACCCCGGCTCTGAGCGGGGCACACGCGGGAGGCGGCCAATCGATGTGCCCCTTACAGG